CCAAAAATTAAAACAAATAAACAAACAAAAACAATTGCCTATGATGTAGAATACAGACACAGTGGCTGGATTTGTGGGGAGAAGGTTTTGGGCTGAGAAGTCTTTTTTCAACTCATGTCATATTATACATGCAAGTCCCCTACCTCCAGAAGTGATGTGTTCATTTTACCAAGATAGAAAGCACTTAAAATCCCTACAAAGGCTAAGTGAACTGTGAAATGTTATCTGGTCAGTCAGTGGGAGCCCTGGACACAAAATGCTTAACTTTACCACGAAGATGCTGCACTTCAACCTTGAAGATGTTTTACATCTCTCTGGGCTTCTGCTTAAAGGAGGAGCAGTAGAATGTAGGTGGGTGATTTCCAAGCAGAAAATATCCTTATTAAAATATTTGCATATAAATGCTGAAAACATTGATTCACAAAACAATCATGCCAGGAGAATCTGAAAGATTGAGACATTCAGTGTTGTTTTAAGCAAAGTAATTAACTTCTAGTGCACAAACTTCCTTCTCCTGAAATTCATTGAGGGAGCAGATGCCTAAACATTCATGGTATTAGATTAAGAAAATGGTACTTGCTTTTCTTCCAAGCACCATATGGTTTCAGAATCCAAAGTCAATGAAGAGGAAAGCATGAATTTATTTGGTTTATGCAGCTCTCATTAACGGTCTGTGAGAAAGATCATATTTTAATGCTTAGTAGATAAATGCAAAGTAATTTCATAGTAGACTCCCATTTCACGAAGAAAAGAGGTCAAGGGTTAGGAGGAGCTTTAAATGTTATCTGGCAAATCTACAGCCATGATTAACGTGGTGCCTTGATAAGTAGAGCAAAAAATTTACAAAGAATAAACAAATACTGGAATTTAAAATGACTAAGTTTTCCTTTTATGAGCAATTTTATGTTTTAACTCAAATATTGGAAAAATGTTTTACAAAATAAGGGAAAGATTAGAAAAATATAACATGCTTCTATAAACAAATCTAAACTCAATTTGCTAGTAGTGCCTACAGCTGAAAAGAATCAACTCAGTTAATTTGCATAAGGACACTGAGAGAATTAAAAATTCCAAGATGGTGTATGTGAAGCTTTGGCCACCTATTATATCCACGGCCCAGCTAGGCATCAGGGTACAGTGATAAAAAACAGTGTTCCTACCCCCTAGAGCCTAGTGGATTTTGTCTGGGAAACTGTGCAGTTACATTATTGAATAAAGCATACCCTGTTTCTGATTTGTGTGTTCTCCAAACAGCAATTTCGCAGATTCTGCCTTTGCAAGGGAAGTGGAAAAACATTTCATTCTTCTTCGACTGTGAGCTTAAAAAAAAACTCCATCATATGATAGGAACATGTGTTATTAAAGTGCACTGTAACAAAAAGAAAGGAATTTAAGTAAATTTTGGAAGCAAAGCATAGGGAGATAACGAGTAAACAAGGAGTATAAAGAAGAGAAAGTAAAAAGAAAAGAAGGAAGGCAGACAGGTGAGGAATGAGCAATGAAAAGTAGCTGAGGCCTTGAGGAGTACAAGGGAGAAGATATAGTGCCCTTCCCATGGGCCATATTCAGGCGAACGCTGAAGGACCTCAGCTCACGCATGCTGCAGACTGGACTCCTCCATGAGAGTCTTGTCTTCTAGGTGAGAGGAGGATGAGGGAGGAAGTTAGAGGCAGGGAAGAAGAAGATGGGAGAGAAAAGAGAAATAAGACACATTGGCCGTCTGGATCTTAATTGCTTTCATATAAATTGAAACAAAATGAGAAGTGTAATGGAGTGGAAAAGAGATAAGTTTCAAATTAAAAGATAACCAGGGTAGAAGATTGCTTGTATAAATGACAGAAAACTCACAATCCGGTCTAGATGAAATATGAAACTAAATAACAAAGAATAAAATTACCAACATTTAAAAAAATCTGATCATGAAAACAAATTAGTTTGTTCTAATTATTTACAGTTAAACGGTGAATGATTAGCTGGGATTTAACAGCACCGTGGTGAGGATGCAAGCTAATTTAGTGCAGACCATTACCATACACGGTCCACAATTATTTTGAAAGTGTTCATGATAGAGAGATTTGTTTCTTGGAGACAATGATAGTGGCAATTTAGACCTAACAAGAAAATTAAAGTTTTGTAAGGAATGCTTAAAATGATCTTATCTCAGGCTCAGTGATAAAAAGATTTAGAGGTTATCTTTAATGTTTTATACATGCTTTAAAATATTTCACGTCAACAAAAAGGTTGATTATCTATCTATCTATCTATCTATCTATCTATCTATCTATCTATCTATCCATCCATCCATCCACGTATCATCTATCACATTTTAACTTCTGTGGTTTGGAAGCTATTATAGTATTACCCACAGCATCAAGGAAGTGGTCTACTGTTAATTCTTAGTTTCCATTGCTATTGCCCAAAATAGGAGTCTAGACCTATCCCATCTAGGCAGTGACCAGGGAAAGTAACTGTGACAACCCTGAAGAATTTTATCAAAATAACTACATTCCAGACATGGATCTTTAATGACTGGATCCATGCCATGACCATTTCTGTATTTCTATCTTCTAGCGAAGTGCCTGAGTTGTAGTCTTTATTGTGGAAATACCATTGGAAAGATCTAGGTTCAAATCTTAGCTCTACCAACTATGAGCCAGAAAATGGTGGCCAACTTACTTATTTCAAAGTTTTAGTTTCTTTATCTGTAAAATAGAGGTAAAAAAAAAATAGCTATTTGTTATAGTTGTCAGGAGGATGAAATTAGGTTCCAAGTACAGTTCTTGAACATAATGGAACTCAACTCAATAAATAATAGGTGTTTATCCTAGTATCATAAGATAGGCAGGGATTTAATTGCCCACATGTGGCTTATAGTGCTACCCACACCTGGGGCCTGATGGAGCCTGTCCATCCCACCAGCTACTTCCTGACATCTCACTTCTACCTGGGGTTTTTGAATGAGGGTTTCATGTCTTTTGGATGATTAAAGACATTTCCAGGCAAGAGGTTGACTTTGGGGCTTTAGAAGAACTATAGTGTCTAGTCCTTACCAAAAAAGTTGTTTCATGCAAGTGAACTAGCCTGGTCAAAAGTGACTTCCTTAAAGACTTTGAGACCCATGCTGAACCAACTTAACATTTTAAGAATAACAATGTACAATTTTCTGAAACTGTGTTGTTAATGGTTAGTTCAACTTGCCACACAGAACTTCCAAATAGAAAATTAGGTCAAACTCAGAGAAGCTAGCCAGGCCTTTGTGAAGATTTAAGAAAATATTATCGTGTGTGTATCAGTGAATGAGTTGCTGTCATTGAGGTGATGCTTCAGAAATGAGACATGTTTCCTCAGGTCTCTTCAATCCAGCACTTGGCTGTCCTCTAAAAGCTCATTAGGAGGCAAAATTCATTTGATGAATTGGCTATATGACCCCAGTCTGAATTTGTATCAGTTCCATGTCAGTCCACAGATGATAGTCTCCTAGCCATTTAGGAAAATTAAATGTCTTCACCAGAAGAGCAAATACAGAAATTCGAGGGCTACTTTTCTCAAGACTGTTTTTTAAATAAGATTTTAAACTATTTCCTATTTCCTTGAGGAATTCAAGAGTACTGTGATTTACCTAGCATTGAAATCATTTTAAGAAAAACTGGTAATGAGAAATCTCAGCTTAGGCCTCTTTTCCAGGAGATTTTTTCCCTCTGAATTTCTAGGTTGAAGAAACTGGCTACCCACAATGCTCCCAAACACCACTGGCGAACCTCTTTCCTAGTATTTTCCAATTCATATCAAAATAACCTGTTATTGGTTTGTCATCCCCATTAGACTAAAGGCTTCTCAAAAGCAAAACAACAACAGCGACAACACATTTATTGTTGTATCACCAGCATTTAGCAATGTATCTGGCACCTAGTAGGCATTACAACTTACTGAATGGGTAAATCAGTGGCTAATTATTCACTTAGTAGAGACATATAAGGGATTTTTATATAGCAAGATTCCTTTGTATACTTAAAGTATGCTTCACCATATACAGTTTTTACAGAACTCATATCTTTAATAAAATAGAATTAAAAATTTATATCTATGTAAATTATTAAAATATATAATTAGGTTACCTGGCAAATCACATCAATGATTATGAATTATAAATCGGAGAGACTGGGAGTTAACTAATATATTATTCCCTGAATTGGTCACATTCATGGAAGGTATTCAACTCATCTGACTCAACAGGAGAAGAAAAATATTTATAGTACAACTTCCTCTTGAATGCAAATGCATTCCAATTACATATGTGTCACATTTTTCTCAAACAGTGAAAGGACTTGTTTTTTTCATAGTAGATGGAAGTATTTTCATCAGCATTCAACTTATGAGCTTTTCTTCCTGAGATTAGGTATTGTAAAAGATACCAACAGATTTATATAGAATTATCAACTACTAAACTCAGTATCTTATGAATGCCCATTTCAAAAACTGTATGGAAGCTGTTAAAATTGACTCATATAAAAAAGAGAAAACTGTCCTTCTATTCATATAAATTTGATTTTTAAAAGAATTCTGTCTGCGGTCATAATATGAGATGAAATATGTCCTTTCGTATTCATAATGTTCCTCCATTCATCTTGTGTATACCAGGAAATGATAATGTAATTTCTTTGTGGGCAATGAAGAAAAAATAATACTTGTCTGTAAAACTTTCTTATAACAATGAGGATGACAAAAATAACGACAACAAGAAACCCTCATAACAAGATATTAGAACATAGGTGATATTTTCTTGCAATTAGCCTTGTCTGCCTGACCGATCTCTTTCTTGTTAGGGAAAATTGCGCAGAGCATTTTATTTCAAGCCTCAATTTTGATGAAAGAAAAAAACTGCAATTTTTGCCACAAAAAGACAGGTGGCGTAAGCATGCAACGTTTTTAAAAAAATACATAAAGTGATTATTTTCTCTCCGGCGCTTTGAAAAAGCTCGCTTGTGCTTGGGTTTGTGGCGGAGCCCGGTGACGTCAGTGTGGCAGTGCGGAGTCAGGCGCCCGGCTCTCTATAAGCCCAGGAGCTGTCCGGGTGCTGAAACCCAAGGAGCTCACCTGGCGGACCAGGAGGAAAATGCGGGGAGCCTTCTCTGCCATATAAAAAAAGAGGTAAGGCTGTTTTTCTCTTCGATTTACTGGAAAGTTCTAAATTGCGTGTTCTTCCCTTAATTGTTAGCTGGGAAGAAAAAGATCCTTTCGCAAGCTTATATCTATAGAATAACTGAATAGCAACCTGCTGCTGGTCAGTCAATGTAAGGACATTCATTACATTTGTGTGTATATATATGATTGAGTCTATAATTTATACTACTTGATGTTGAATATTATATTAACCAGAATGTTATTTAGATAATCATATGTCAGACAGCGATAAAGTTAAGTATTTTAGTGTCAATGAACATATTAATGTAAAGTTAACCAAGCCTGATTCTGTTTCTTTTCATAGTTTATTGTTTCTTCATCTCAGAACCACATACGAAGCCACGGGTATAACTTATATGCCGAATATTCTTAACAGTAGGTTTCCAGTGATTCAAAGGCTCTTAAACACATTAGTCATGAGGCAACCAATTTTGGCACTAGTTTTTTTTGCCCCCCCCCGATATTTACCTTACAAGACTTCTAAATTAACTAACTATATAAAATTATTTTCTAAACTGATATACCCTAAAAGTGCTTACATTATGTTACCTCCTGATTTTAGTCCCAGGAAAGTAGCTTAGAATGATCCTGAACACAGGCTTTTCCCCCCCAGACTTAGATATTACCTTGGGTTGTAAGTTAGATGTGACATGAGTTACAGAGAAATCATAATTTTGAATACATTATGAAAATATTCATAACTGTATAAATTATTATTGTTATTATTATGTCTGATTGAAAGAGGTTGTGCAATGTTTTGCTAAAGATTTTGACTGGAACAAGTATTCTTTTTCTGTATTCCAACTAGTTGAATGGCTCAGATTACACATATCCACCTGCATGTGTCAATGCTTTAGTCTGATTTCAATAGAAATAACATTTTGACTTAAGAGGTTTTAATAATAGCTATCAAGGGAGAAACAATGATCCAACTATTTGAATTTCAGATAATTAATTTTTAAATCAAACCCTATATAGAATATTAGAGCTGTTGAAAACATCTTCACTACTTGAAAGAGCTACTATCTGAGAAAGAAATCCTTTGAGCCTTACTCAAAGGCGATAGCTGTGTTGTCTAAACTAATCCTGAATTAATGACCAAAGGGTAGCACTTGTTAGGCTGTGGTTTAAACAACTATAACAGTATGCTGTTCCAACTCTACAGCAAAGCCCACTTCCAAGATAAGAATTTTAAGGACAAGTACATAACCTATATGTTAAGAATACTTTAAGATAATGGTTTCAAAGAAAATAAGTTCAATAAGGTTTTTAATAGTGTTTTAAATGCCAATGTTGAAAATTGATTACAGCTAAATTAATTCTGAAATAATATAAAGAATGTATAATGCACTTTAATTTAAGCCTAAGGAGTTTATGAATAAAATTACTTATAGTAAACATTTATTCATAGTAAGTATTTTGGAAGTATTCTCTGAAATGATTTTTCTTTCAGCAAATTTAGTAATTAAGAAATGGGAATTATTTTAATAACTATATATACCTGTGATAGAGAAGTTTCTATAACTGCAACCATTTTTAGCCTCTAAAAACTGAAAACTACTTAATCATTAATGTGATCCAATGAACAATACTTTCTAATTTGATGTCTAAGCTAGCAGAAGATTGTACCCACATAAATTATCTCATTTCTCACAAAACCATATGAACAAACTTTTTCATTCATTGTATTGACAACAAAAATTGCAAGTATTAAGATAGTATTTTCAGTATTAGCAGTGCCAAATCTAAAACATGTAAAGACTAATCCTCTTGCTAATTCATATGTGAGATTTTAAGGCATTGGAGAAAAAAATGAATGAAGATTTTTAAGTAGAAAGAATTCAACACATCCTCTGTGTTTATCTAAATTGAGAGTTACATAGTGGTTATTTTAAGATTTTCTAACAGCATGAGTCATTTAAGATTTCACAGGTCTATACCAAAATAGACATAGACATAAGACAAACTGAATCTGAACACTCACAAGTTCAGAAATAGACTAGTTAAGAAAACTTATGTTTTTTCTGTAGCATCTGTTATTATTTACTATACACTCCTGAGGGCTGAAAAATATATAACCACAATTGCAGTTTGCAAGACAGCCATAATAAAATTATTAGAAGAAATATGGAGCAAAGAGATTTTAAAAGTTTATTATTTTAGTATGTTTACATGGAAAGAAACTTTATTGGCTTAGCCTACGAGCTGGGACCTAAGAAGACCCATGTTCTAGAGGTTATTAATTGAGAGATGGATTTGGTGTCAGAGTGAGAGCAAGTTATTTTTGAGAAATATATGTGAATAGGACTCATCCACAAGCCAACTTAGTATGATTGACACTAACGAGCTGTATCACTTCATCATTATAATAATGTCATTGCTGCTGTGTTTCTACTACAAAATTATATGGAGAATTCAGGAAACAAACCACATATTTTTTGATACAACCTTAAGGATATAATTTCGTGTGTGTGTGTGTGTGTGTTTTGTATGTGCATTCACATTTTATATTAAGCTAACAAATATTTTGCTAATGATTTCAATAGGAATGCTATATAAGATAACTAAAACATCTTGGAAAATCTTTTCTCCTTTATTAAAAAGAAACAACATATAAAAAAACACTACATCTCAAACTACAAGTTTTGTAAACAAAAACATGAAATTTGAGAAACCTCACAACACTGTTTTTGTTATTGTTTAAACCATGAGAATGCTATGCAAGTTTGATGTAAATGAGTAACAATGTTGCTAAGATTCCTGTGGTTAGCTTGTGAGGATTTTATAGGAAGTATTAATGGATTAAATAAAATAGCTATCCTAAGTTTAATGCAAAATACCTTCTTCTATGTTTTTTTTTTCTTAATAGTCAATTATTTCTTTTGCTATAGTGTCTTTTAGTCTGTTTCCCTTGTGTAAATTCATGTTTTCTGTGCTTTAAGGAAATCTTTCAAACATGGCAGAAGCTAAGACCCACCGGCTTGGAGCAATCCTGTCTCTTATCTCTTTAATCTTCCTCATCTATGGGGCTGAGGCGGCTTCATTTCAGCGAAATCAGCTGCTTCAGAAAGACCCAGACCTCAGATTGGAAAGTGTCCAAAAGTTTCCCAGTCCTGAAATGATCAGGGCTTTGGAATACATAGAAAAACTCCGGCAACAAGCTCACAAAGAAGAAAGCAGCCCAGACTATAATCCCTACCAAGGTGTCTCTGTTCCCCTCCAGCAAAAAGAAAATGGTGATGAAAGTCACTTGCCAGAAAATTCAAGGGATTCCCTGAGCGAAGATGACTGGATGAGGATAATACTTGAAGCTTTGAGACAGGTTGAAAACGAGCCTCAGTCTGCACCAAAAGAAAATAAACCCTATGCCTTGAATTCAGAAAAGAACTTTCCAATGGACATGAGTGATGATTATGAGACACAGCAGTGGCCAGAGAAAAAGCTTCAGCACATGCGATTCCCTCCTATGTATGAAAATTCCAGGGACAACCCCTTTAAACGCACTAACGAAATAGTGGAGGAACAATACACTCCTCAAAGTCTTGCTACACTGGAATCGGTCTTCCAAGAGCTGGGAAAACTGACAGGCCCAAACAACCAGAAGCGTGAGAGGGCTGCTGAGGAACAAAAGCTTTACACAGATGATGAAGATGATATCTACAAGACCAATAACATTGCCTATGAGGATGTGGTTGGGGGAGAAGATTGGAGTCCAGTAGAGGAGAAAGTAGAGAGTCAGACGCAGGAAGAGGTGAGAGACAGCAAAGAGAACATAGAAAATAATGAACAAATCAATGAGGAAATGAAACGTTCAGGGCAGTTGGGCCCCCAGGATGATCTCCAGAAAGAGAATAAAGATCAACTTACAGGTGATGTTTCCAAAGTAATTGCCTATTTGAAAAGGTTAGTGAATGCTGCAGGAAGTGGAAGGTCACAGAATGGGCAAAATGGGGAAAGGGCAAACAGGTTTTTTGAGAAACCACTTGATTCTCAGTCTATTTATCAGCTGATTGATATCTCAAGGAATTTCCAGATACCCCCCGAAGACTTAATTGACATGCTCAAAACCGGGGAGAAGCCAAGTGCATCGGTGGAACTGGAGCAGGGGCTTGAACTTCCTGTTGACCTAGATGGCATCTCGGAGGCTGACTCAGACCATCCAGACCTGTTTCAGAATAAGATGCTCTCCAAGAGTGGCTTCCCCAAAACACCTGGCCGTGCTGTGACAGAGGCCCTACCTGATGGACTTAGTGTTGAGGACATTTTAAATCTTTTAGAGATGGAGAATGCAGCAAATCAGAAACCCCCATATTTTCCCAATCAGTATAACCGAGAGAAGGTTCTGCCGAGGCTCCCCTATAGTCCTGGAAGATCTAGAGCAAACCAGCTTCCCAAAGCTGCCTGGATGCCAGATGTTGAAAACAGGCAAATGGCATATGAAAATATGAATGACAAGGATCAAGAATTAGGAGAGTACTTGGCTAGGATGCTGGTTAAATACCCTGAGATCATTAATCCCAACCAGGTGAAGCGAGTTCCCAGTCAAGGCTCATCTGAAGATGACCTGCAGGAAGAAGATCCAATTGAGCAAGCCATCAAAGAGCATTTGAATCAAGGCAGCTCTCAGGAGACTGACAAAATGGCCCCGGTTAGCAAAAGGTTCCCTGTGGGACCCCCGAAGAATGTTGATACCCCAAATAGACAGTACTTGGATGAAGACCTGTTAATAAAAGTGCTGGAGTACCTCAACCAAGAAAAGGCAGAAAAAGAAAGGGAGCATATTGCTAAGAGAGCAATGGAAAATATGTAAGCAGCTTTCATTAATTGCTCTTCACTCCTCCTACCCCAAGCAAACCCCAGCATTTCTCTTTAGTGTGTTGACTTCTATCCTGTTAACACTGTAATATCTTTAAATGATATACAGGCAGATGATTCCAGGTCCCTGGGAAGTCTGCTGCACTTATTCTGAGCTGTTTTCTTGTGTATGGATATGTGTAAATGTTATGACTTCTGGATAAAAAAATTTATTATGTCCCTTATTCAAGAAAGATATCTATGATAATGTTTATTGTGTATCTAATGGCTGTGGCATTGGTGATTCTCACATATGATAAAAAAAAATGTCCTGTAATTCTCTTGAAAGTTTTTAATATTTACTGAATTATTTTGTTATTGTCTGTAGTGTTTTGTGGAGTATTGGAGCTTATTGTGTATCTAATGGCTGTGGCATTGGTGATTCTCACATATGATAAAAAAAAATGTCCTATAATTCTCTTGAAAGTTTTTAATATTTACTGAATTATTTTGTTATTGTCTGTAGTGTTTTGTGGAGTATTGGAGCCCCCCCCAAATAAAGCATTATAAATATATAGTTTTATTTATAAGGCCTTTTCTATTGTGTGTTTTATTGTTGATTAATAAATGTTATTTCTGGACAACTTTGGACTCTTCATTCTGGAAAACCAGAAACAGTGGGCTATGGAGCAAGCAGTATGGAGCCAAAAAAGAAAGTCGTTACCTTCCACAGCCAGTCCAGGTAAGAAATATTGAATTTTAAGTATGTGATCATGCTATATGCTTGTAGAATGCAGCAGACTCTAACAGCCCACTATTTATGCTTGCCTGTGGTTTTTCTCACATATGTGATTTATGCAATAAGCCTTTTGGTATCTTTTACCCTTGATTTATATAAATAAAAGACACTTACGTCTCTCATACCCATATCGAGCTTTAAAAAAATAGAAAAGAAAGAAAAGGACATGTACATGGCAATCAGAAATGACTACAGACTTGGAAGCAACCTTCCTATTCCCAGGTCACGTTGGTCCCCAGAAGACAAGGCTGTTGCCCCTTTTGTATGAGTAGAGAAGAGCCAAAGGACCCCTAAACTGACTGTGAGGTAATGAATGGGCACAGCCACAGTGGAAACAGACTGGCTGCCCTCCCTCCTGCCCTAAAGCGATAGGCAGTGCATAAATTTTACAATTCATATCCCTTCAGTGCAATGCTTTCAGCATCCTAACATATCAACGGGGAGTCAACAACAGAAAAAACAACGGCAGCAAGAAAATATATAAAGCAACAGAACAGTAATGGTTGTAAACAAACATGGAAATAAATAATACTTATTATTTATTGAGTGCATATTGTGCATGAGGCTCTATCTAAACACTACATGTTTACCTTGTTTAGCACCTATGATATCACTGTCAAGGGTCTTTTTCCATCTTCCTCCCTTTTATGCAGGGAAAACAAATTCAGAAAGGTTAAATAAGTTTCCCAAAGTCACCCAGCATTATAAGTTGCCAGAATCTGTGTTCCTAAACACTTCACTACACTGCCTCTCTGGAAGTGCCCTTGCAGCTGAGGGATGGGTCATTGGAGGTGGGGGGGATGGTGAGGGACTCATGAGGTCTCAGTATGAGTCACTTTCAAAGGAGGGCACATGTGCATGTGTGCGTGTGTGCACGTGTGTGTGTCTCTCAGGGGCAGGAGACTAAACTTGAGCTGTTAAAAGGCAGTGGGAGGGCCTGCTGGATGCCTTGGGGGAAACACTGAATATAGGTTTTCCTGCTTTATAATTTTGCCCAGACTCTTTTCTGTCCAATCATTACACAGTTTTGTGGAATCCTAGAATCTGTAGTGGAAGGGAACTTAGAGGCAATTATCTTTACAGTGTTTCTAAAACAGGGTCTTTCCTCTCAAATACTTTCAAGATAGGGAGTTTCTACTTCACAGTGCGCTACAGTGAACTGAACACTGTAGAGTGCCTGCTCTGCAGAGGGAGCTTCCCCATGAGTTACCACAGTTAACTCTCTACACACCCTCTGAGATTGGCGTTATTTGTATTTTTGGAAACTCAGAGAGTGAAATAAGCTGCTGTGGTCACACAACTGGTGAGTGGTGGAGAGGGACTTTAACCCACAACTAACTGTCACCCTCAGGTATGTGCCCTTCCATGAGGGTCTGATGCTTTACCATGCATGGAGTCAGATGTAAGGGGAGCCTCTGGAACAAATTGGGGCTCCTTCAAGTGGAGAGATCTAAGATATTTACACTGCTTAAAGTCTAAGGAATATGTTTATATGCCATGCTTTACAGGTGTCCACATATACCTCCTGTCCATTGTGTACACTTTCCAGTTTTCTGCATCATGCAGTGAGTCACTCTTTGGATCCTAAGTCAACTGTGTGACTATTTCCATGCTAGCGCTAAGCAGAAACGACTTGGCACATGCGTCTCCATCCACCTGATACTTGCCTTCACTGTTGTGTTTAAACGTTCTACTGAGAGGTTAGGCAATGAAAGCGAATTAAGCAACACAACACAGCTGAGGAGGCTCCAGGCTGGGATTTATACACAGATCAGTAGGATGCAAACCCTGCTTCTCCATGTTGCTTTTTATCTAAAGCCATAGGCATCAGAATTGGTAGTTGGGAAGTATTTTAACTTGGGATATATATTTTCTGTCTGATCACTCTCAGGCTTCAGTCAGGAAGCGTCTTTACCTTTTGGCAGTACCACCATATCCTGAGCTATTGACTCATCAATTAGATATTTCTGGTCCAAGGTTTTTTGTTTTGTTTTTAATAAGTACTTTAGTATGTTGCTTCCTAGCATAACAAATCAAGCTCTGAGTACAATTCAAGGAAGTGGATGATAAATTCGCTGGAATTACAGCAACTCTGCCCCTCTCCCTGCTCAGAAGCCTCCTTCATCAGAAGTCTGGGGATAACACCAGCCCTCTAAGCAGAGGCCCTCTGCAGGCTACCGCTGGTAGGAAAAAGAAACTGCCTGTGCACTGAAACTGCTCCCCTTGCAGGAGTCGCTGCCTCCATCAGCAGGAATCAGATGGGAGCCTAGCATGCTGTATGCTCTCTGCAAGACCCCACCTTCCAATCTTCCCTTTCCCCAACACTCACAGCCTTGGACTAATTTGATCGTGCACTTTATAGCAAGACGTTTAAGTCATCCCTCATCTCCCACACTCAAACTTCCCTAAAGTTTGTATACAGACCCCACCTTCCAATCTTCCCTTTCCCCAACACTCACAGCCTTGGACTAATTTGATCGTGCCCTTTATAGCAAGACGTTTAAGTCATCCCTCATCTCCCACACTCAAACTTCCCTAAAGTTTGTATACGTTTCTGGACCCCAACTCCTGCTCCTTCTAATACTCTATAGCCTTTTTCACTATGTCTTTTGATTCTCAAAGCCAGTCCTATGCAAAATTCCCTGCATCCTGAACCTCTTCTGTGAACACTCTGGCTCTAAGGGAAACCCACCTCTCCTCTAAGTCCGCTGCTTCCCTTGCAGCCCTCTTCCTTGCTTCCTTTTTGCTGCTTATGGTACCTTTTGTTCTCATCCATAAAAATATCCAACTCTGAATCTCATGCCATCACCTCCATCCTTGCTGTTGTGGTCACCTACTGCCCCAGGTCACCTCCCCTCATTCATTAAAGGTAGTAGCTCCTGCACGCTGCCACTCTTCCTAGCATTGCGTCTGTCTTACTACTTGTTGATTTCAGTGTTCACAGAGTTGATTTTTTCCAGTACTCCAGGTTCCATCTTCTATCAGCTCTTCATTTGCACGTGGTTATGCCTTGATGTTTCCCTTACTAATAACTGCCAACTCTCCTAAATCTCAATTCCAAACATTTTACTCTAACAATCACTGTATATTTCCAGTCTACTTCCTCTAGTACCCAAGTTCCCATAATCCCTCCACCCACAAGAAAAGTACAATTCATGTATCCCAGCATCTTTCCACTCTCTCTTCCTCTTTATTCTTTGCCACCCCTGTTGTCAAGCATACATTTCATTGCTTATCATTATAATCACTCTCTTGTAAACATTCTTAACTCTCTTCTATCTTTTGTGATTTATTGCAATCTTTGCTAAGCAAAATCTCTAGTTAAGTGCAGCTCTCCACCCACTCTTCCCTTCTTTCTAACAGCTGAACACAGCCACACTGACTGACTTTCTTTAAATTCATGCACACTGCCTTCAAGTGGCCCGTAATGCTGTCCCGTAATCCTCATATACCCCTAATCCATTCGGTCTTTTACTCCTTGGAAAATATCAGATTTTCCCCTCTGTCTGAAAATACTCAACACTGTCTCTACAATCCATGCTCTCAGATAATTATCTGCCTTCCAATTTCACTGAAAAAAAATGAAGCCACCCAAGGAGAAGGTCTACAGATTCTCATCTCCACTTTGACTCACCTACTGCATCTGTGGCAATATGTTCTCTGCTTTCCTGTTGTTGTTTTGGTGTGTGTGTGGGGGGGGGGGGGGTTGGGAGGAGAGTGACTGGTCTGTGCTCCTATCTTTGATTTTGGGGTTTTTTTTGGGGGGTGACTGAAGTGTGCCCCTCCACTTGTGCAGCAATCCTGCCCTCTTGCTTACCTGAGAAACTTGTTTCAGCAATTCTCCGCCTTTTCATTGCATTCCACGCTGTGTATGAATCATCCCTATCAGCATTCAAATAGGCTTCTTTCTTTCATCTGCAAAACCAACCAAACAAGGAAATGAAAATCCTCTCCTGACCCCACTTTCCCCAAGGGGGGGGGGGGGGTGGTTGGGAGGAGAGTGACTGGTCTGTGCTCCTATCTTTGATTTTGGGGTTTTTTTTGGGGGGTGACTGAAGTGTGCCCCTCCACTTGTGCAGCAATCCTGCCCTCTTGCTTACCTGAGAAACTTGTTTCAGCAATTCTCCGCCTTTTCATTGCATTCCACGCTGTGTATGAATCATCCCTATCAGCATTCAAATAGGCTTCTTTCTTTCATCTGCAAAACCAACCAAACAAGGAAATGAAAATCCTCTCCTGACCCCACTTTCCCCAACACCTACTGCCCCATGTCTCCTTTTTCCCTTACAGAAAAATTCCTTTATAGAGTTGTTTGTACTTATCCAAATTCTCCCTTTCTGTTCTCAAATCCCTTTCAGTCAGGCTTTTGTCCCCACATCTCCACAGAAATGGCTCTTGTCAAGATAACCACTGACTTCCATATTGCTGAATCTGATGATCAATTCCAAGTCCTTGTCTTTTCTGACTTAGCAGCATTGATAACATATCACCTTTTTACCTTTAAAAACCTTCTATGCTTGGACATGCCTGGTTCTCCCCCTACCTCACTGTCTACTCTTTCTTGGCCTCCTTTGCTATTCTTCCTTGTCTCCCTGACCTCCAAACATTGGAGACCAGAGCCCAGACCTTGGAACCCTTCTCTTTTCTATATACACTCATTCTTTGGATGATCCCATCCAAGCTTCATGGCTTTTGCCAACAACTACTGGCCAACAATTTCCAAATCTTTATGTCCATCTCATAATGTTTCCATGACCTCCAGACTCACAAGCTCAACTGTCTAGATGACATTCCTACTTGGATGTCCAAGACTCATACATTCAAGTGTCTAGATGACATCCCTAC